GTGGAAGAGACGAAAAAAATTTACCCTGCGTGAGATTCTATAACGACGGCATTGTCTTTGTAAATTTTTTTTGTCATCTACAACCCTTTTCTAAGGTCATCTCCAAGTTGATGCAAAAAACGGACCCCTTTTGCATAAAAAATTATTAAACTTTTTTTTGGCCACCCACCAAAAAAATTGACTCTATACACTGTTATATATATGGGATGGTTCATCCCTAGTGGGGTTGTTTTTTCATCATCCATATAAGGATAATTAAGGGTGTGAGGGTACGTCCGCCATTTCACTACCCTCCGGTATTGTTTAGGGGTGGATGCTATTTTTTGTTATTATTTTTTTTTAAGGTTTCGTTCTACCCTCCGGATGACTGTCCCGGCCCAATGGTGAAGCGGCAGGGGTGACTGAAATATGGTTGGATGGGATCAACGGTTTTTGTAACGTTTTCGCAACGGTTTACCAAAAACAAAAATGGACGAACTAAGACTACTGATTAATACGAATACACGTGTATAATTACGGCAGACATTTTTCGGTAACTATATAGTGATAAATGRATTAAATATGTTTTCAGTACTTATATAAACTCATATTATTTCAAGTAAAATAATTTTGTACATATTATGTTAAACAACTCAACTCTATAGCTAATGTACCTAGCAAAATATAATTCCTACAAATACGACAAAATCTCGTATATTGGATGATATTTTTGAAATATTCTGTACAGAATTAAAATACAAACATGATTATTTATTCTTAAATAAAATTAATATTATATGGTCCTATTGAATGTTTAAACTTTAAATCAATTATAAATTATATAGAGTAAATAATCCAATATGCCCAATATAATTAAATATATTTCCTCGAAGTATGTTAAGTTCAGTCTTTATGGAACGGGATTTTGAATAAATCTTTATAATTATTAGATGACGTTCCTACGAAATACAAGGACAAAAAATCTCGGCGTGGATTCCTGTTAATATCTTCTTGTTTACTAAGTAACATGATTTCAAGTCTTACAGAATAAATCAACAGGACACTTTTGTGATGTAGATATCTATATTATTATTTTAAAACTATTTGTGCCAATATTATATTATTATGCTGTAGGCATTTTTAATTTCTTTTTATTGAAAAATGTATACTGCATTAATGCATAATGGATAAAAGTGGGTCAGTGATGGTAAGCGATGACTTACGTTGTGATGAACTAGCCCTGCAGCAATTTTCTGTTTATTACTTTGATTAAATGAATATAATTGTATTTTGATGTTCTTAAGAGTTTYGTTGTAATATAATTTATGCAATTATGATTTACKGGTTATATGTAGCTATATTATATTTGGTATGCCATTTAATTAAGCTCTTTATAATAATAAAATAAATCAATGCAGTATGCATAAATGCGTAATAGACGTATATTTGATCAATGTATCATTTATAAAGTGCAATGGGATAATAATACCTTTATTATATCGTAAAATCTGTAAGAAGTACCTACATTTATAAAATAGTTATAGTTGTTGAAGTAGGTACCTGGTACCCACTAACAAAATATTTTGGTATGAAAATTATATGTTTTAGCATTAATTAAAATATCTATTTATCAGCATAATTTACAGTATTTTGTAAGTATTACATCCATCATTAGGTAAATTTAATTTTTATTAAATACAATACCTAATAATAAATTTAAACAAAAGATTTAATATTCTGATTAGAATATTATATATTATATATATTTAAATAAACTTTTTAAAAAAATGCAATAAATACGTAGTATTATTGTATTCTATATAAAATTATAATAGTATATCTAATTTAAATTTATTTGTAGGTGAAAATTATGTTTTATGCAAATTATTTTAAAAGATTTATAAGACATTTAATTATTTCACACATTAATACTTATTTTCCATGTGGTTAGGTTCCGTGTGGTAATATGATTATTGAACATTTATATTGTAATATAATGATCAATTATATATTATAAATTATAAACTGATCATTCAAACTACAAAATTAAATTAAACATTTTTTTTTATTACATTAAAGAAATGAATTTAAAAAACTTTTGTTCAACATTTTTACGTTTTTTATGTAATTAAATTAAATTAAATTAAACATTTTTTTTTATTACATTAAAGAAATGAATTTAAAAAACTTTTGTTCAACATTTTTACGTTTTTTATGTAATTGAAATAAGATAAATTATATGAAAATGTTTTTAAAGTACTTTTACGGTTTTACTTTACATTTAGACAAAAACTTTATAATTTAATAATTTAATTTAACTAAAAAAAATGATAAAATCAAAATGAAATCTCCAAAAGATTTGTCCTCAAAATATTATAGAATGGTAATGCTTTTAAAATTGTAATGAGTGTAATAAAATTACATTAGAAAAAAACCACAAGTTATTTTGTTGAATGGCGTGTTATACTTTCTTGAAATAAAGAAATGTTTATATACTTGCAACGTTTGAAAAGAAATTTTTTTCGGTCATGGAATTAACTTTAAATTACGCGTTTGATTTTTTTCTTGTGTCGGATGCATAAATACACCGAAGAAAAGCGAATAGCAAGAAGGAATGATAAAAAAAAAACTGAATTCAACCTCTACGCTCCAAGGCATATCATCATCAGATAAAGCGGTTGGTTAAAAAAGCAAATAAAAAATTTCCCAACGTCCTATTTATTGGTTGAAATACGTTTTTTGTCTTTCATATTATCATTGTGTTACATACGTGAAAATATTATATCAGCGGAAAAAAAATTCTAGAAAAAATCACCAAGAAAAAAATAGAAATAAATAAGTCGATATTTTTCCAATATACGTGATGCATAACAGAATGAATGAAAGCAGTATAGGGATAAGAACAGAAAATATATTACAGAAAGAAAAATCGATTCGTTTCGTTACTATAATCATAATTATATTACACATATTATTATGAGATGATAAAAACTAAATTAGACGCCTACGTGTTGATCACATAACAATATGTTAAACTGTTAAAATTAAAACCGTTTCTTTTCAAAAACCACTTGGATAATATTTATTTTTCCTTTACGCACGTACGTATCACCAAATTGATGTATAATTTTCTTTAGTTTTGACTATACAACTAATATTTATAGCATATAAGGCTATTAAAAATACAAAGTTACAAAAGTTTGTAGATGTTGCTTATATAGTTCGATAAAAATTAAGTCCAGACTCCCAGAGTGAAAAATTGAATAATCAATTATATGTAACAATATGCGGATATAAAAAACCTTTTAAATTAATTGAATTTTCTCATCAGATTACAAAAACAAATATATTTTTGATATCTTTATATATATTCAAACGTGAGGCGATTTTTTATGATAGTTATATCTGAAGTTCTACTGGGCCGATTTTCATGATTTCTTTTTCTAACGCAAGTACTCGGTGTTCAGATGATCCATCAAAAGAGAAAAGTCCAAACAATTAATTATTTAGTTAGTTATTAAAAGTATAAAGTTTGCCGTATTATCACATAGCGACGCGCGTTGCTTAAGCAATACAATTGTGTATCTATTAAGTAGTGTAAACTAAGAACTATAAGAAGCATCAATAATACGTTAAAATAAACTCACGCAAAGGCCAAAGAATAAAAAAAATTAAATAAAACTTGAAACTCTTAAATAACACATGAGAATAAATATAAGTTGACATTTAAGAAATCTTTATACCTACACTCCGTTGTATAATACGTTGAACATAATATGATCTAATGTATAATCTAAATAAAAAGTTTTATATAATTTATTTATCTATTCAAAGAATAATAAAACATTTTTTAAATATGGCCAACTTGCAATTAAACATTAGATTATTATTTGAATAAGATTTAAGTAGTATAAGTAGTAACTAATTGTGTTGGTACTTTGGTCTCTTTAGTATACGATTGCAGGTAAATAAAATGATACTTTTATATTTTATTATAAATACATTCGAATACTGTAAAATAATGTGTTATAAACGTATGCTATTAAATTTCGGGTATAAAAAAACTGCTGAGATTTGATCTTCAAGTGCTCTGGAGGATTACCAAGGAAATCAAAWAATATCTCTCTGTAACGTATTAACGAGACACGGTTTTTAATAGCCAGTGGGGTCATAYGGAATTATGCAGAGTCTCTAATTCCATACAAGCTTTGGAGCAAAAACCGTTAGTTAAATATTTGCACATAATTGCAGTACCTACACAGCCAAGACAACTCAGATTTCAAAGGGAACGAATCATATGGAACAATAGGAAGTGTCCTTTATTAATATGAAAAAGTTTACTATTCATATTATATATTTATTATAATATACCTACTCGGATTACTGTGTCTTAATAGCGTACAAAATTATACACTACAGATATGTCAGTGGCGGATTTTCAAAATTTTTCTGAGGGGAGGTCCTAAAAAATAATATGTATTTCAAATGTATTATTTTTATTATAAAATAACAGAAATAGTGTTATAATAATATTGTCCTCTATATAGTGGCAAAATACGCAGATAAACTCACTATCGCAATACAAAAGAATATCGGGAATTAACGTTACGACTTACGATTGTATCTAAAATTTTAAAATACGATAAATATTTTATTATATTATTATTATTTCAGTAGGTTCTTGACAATCAACCTATATAGGTCCTTATATTTGAAATATGTGCATTGTGCATATATTATGATGTTATACGGTATACCTACTGCAGGGTCAGACTCTGTGTATGCATTATTTAATTATATATGTATATATCAGTGTCTGGGGGGGTCCAGACCCCATATGGACCCCTCCCCCCCCGTAAATCCACCACTACAGATATCTATAGGTACTGTCGATCCGCAATAATTAATTAGGGTGACCTGATACTCAATAGCAAACAATATGATGTTCGTACACGGCACGGTTGTCAGTGAAATATGCCGAGAACAATTAATATTTAAAAAAAAATCAAAAGACCACTCACTTGTGCCATTCGAATTCTTGCTGAGGATCTTCGTGCCGGAAGAATGTTCCGCCAAAGCGCCGACCGCAGGGGACGAGCCGCAACAGTTGCCCCCGCCGTTACCACCGTTGGTTGGCGGCGTGCCGGTAGACCGAACTTCAGCGCTTTCGTTGACTTCCATAAAAATTACAACGGCCGGTAAATAAATAGCGTTCCGTGCAGTCCGCGAGAACGAGATTCAAGACGACATTAGAGTAGAAGAAAAAAAAAACGAAAATTTTAAGAGAAGTAGGAAAAAAATTCACTAAAAAAATCTTAACAAAAAAACATTACATTTAACATGATAATATATAATGGTAAAAAAAAAAATTGTAAATAATTCGATAGAGTACGTGACGAGCTATAAAWTATAATGTTATACTACGTTTTTATCGTTCAATAAATCATAATATTATTATAGCGTCGAATATCGATAGATCGTATGTCTCGGTCGGCGGCGTAAGCGTCCGACGGTTAGCGGATCCGTGACGATTGCCGCATGGCGACTCCGGGATACTCGAGGGAAAACTCAAAACGCGCAGCGTTACGCCACCGCCGACGCCACTGCCGGACGTCCGCGACGCCATCTGTTGGCTTGGTCGCCGACGGCGGAAAACGCCATCTCTTCACCCGCTCGGCCGGCAGCTGCAGTTTTACTGGCAGCCGTCGAGGGGTCTCCCTCGTACACATTATTATTATTATTATTATTATATACCAATGTCTTGTTGCTTAAACGTGTTTACGGTGTGTCGTCACGATATTATAATTATGTAATACATATTATTTATTATTTATATAATATGTAGCGTATTATATAGAGTTATAATACTGCAGATACCATCATGAATATTGAATAGGTACATATATTATCAGTAATTTTCAACCATTATGTTTGTATACGCAGGTCTTTGTAAGTAGGGGACGGCTCTAAGTCACCGAAATAATCGATAGCGTCCCCTTTATATTACATAGGTTTCAATCCAATAAATTATAATATAGACAACAAGTTGGATGAGATTATACATTTTTCAACACAAAAAATTGTTTTTATGTAGGATGCGCCTAATCCAATGATGCGCACAGCTGAACTGTATAACACCTATAGGTTATATCTTGGTATATAATTAAAACGATATTGTTCCGAGTTTAGAATTTATATTTATTTTCTCTGGGAGTCTCATCTGCAGAATAGTAATATAGTAATCAGTAATCATAATATACGATGTGAAAAACGCTATGATTTAACGGTGTATGTATATATTGTGTATGTTATTACGTGTGTGCATATCAATAACAATAACATTGATCATACAGCATACTACAACTATAGTATAACAATAATAGTCATAATAATGAAAATAATTATGAATATTATTATGATAAAAATATTTGACAATAATTTTACACTCGGAAATCTTTTTTTTTAAATGCCTGTCAAATTAGCAATAAGCTCCCCCCGGACATTTTGAACTCCCCCTCTCATAGGTTGGGAAACACTGCTATAGACAATGGTAGGTGGGTTTTAAAAAAAACAATATTTTTCCCTCCTCTACCATCGCTGYAACCACACCTGGACGGGTGAAACGAAGTGCGTCGGCATCGCATAAGAACGACGCCGTGCGAATGGCAGGGGGACGGCTATTATATAATATATATATATTCGATCATTTTGTTGGGAGAGCGGATGGGCGACGAGTGGTTGTGGGGAGTTTGCAGTCGTCGCTTTCGTCGTCGTCCTCAAGAAACCGGACTTGATCCGACAGCAAAAAAATAAAAAATAAAAATCGAAGAAATGAATAGTTTTGATATAAAAAAATGTAGAAAACCCGGTCTCCGATCAGTCAATTCGCGTTAAAAAAAAAATCCAATCCTATACTATGGTTTTCAATTTGGCTAACCGAATCGACAATGGAATTTTAT